AGCTGTTCTCCGACCTGGTAAACCACCAGGTTTACCGCACTACTCAGTACTTAGTACTTTAAAAAGTACTCATTTACACGCAGTACAAGTGGCAGTCCAACAAAGTTGAAGGCGACCAATACAGCTTGCATGGTTTACACTATGAAGCTTCCAAGGGATAACATATAACACACAATGACGTTAATGGACGGCATCAAGACGAGCCGTGCAACAGCCCCATGCCAGCAGGGAGAAACCCATGATTTCTTCATTAAAAAAAAAATTCGCTGAAAGATCTTCGATGCGTCCAGATGGGATCAGAGTATATCGCTTGGAAGGAAGACTGGAAGACAGCTGATGTGGTCACACACATGCATATCCACTCTGGCTCATACCTATATATCTTTCAGCGCTGGTAGCCGACCGTAGGAAACCAGAACGAACACTAAACCAAAATGGAAAGACACAAAAAGAGAGAGAGGGGAAACAAAGAAAACGGACGCATATATTAAACTAACCTATTCAGAAAGAGAGAGTCATGAATTGAAAACAGGGGTGAAAAAAAGAACGCGCTTATAGTCAACTATTGCACGGTAAAAATATTCCTATGTCATGTGCATTCGTTTTTCTTTGCATTCCCTCTCCTTTGTGTCTGTTCTTTTTCCATTTTTGCTACTGCTTCGTTCTGTTGTTTTTTTGGTCCCCGTTACATTTCCCTGTGTTTCTAACTTCTGTTTAGTATTCCTTCTTATCAGTTCTTTACATTTATATATTCCGTCGAATGTTCACTTCCAACTCAGTGTTCCTCCCCTCTCTCTCTCTCTCTCTCTCTCTCTCTCTCTCTCTCTCTCTCTCTCTCTCTCTCTCTCTCTCTCTCTCTCTCTCTTTTGCGTTATGCCAACATCCGTTCCTTGCTTCCTCCTCTCCCTTCCTCCAATTACGACTATTCCTATGCCTTTAACTCGCCTTCTCTGCCTCTCAGCCTTTCCTCATCTATGAAGAAAGTAATTATTCCAAAAAGCATGTTGGGAAGAGCATATCTTTTCCGTTCAGAGCAGATGATTTGCATTTTCTTTTAAAGATCAATGTTGTGTTGTATTTTAAACTCTAATACTCTTTCTATGATCTTTTGTCCTACCACCCGCTTCTTGATGTGTTTTATTGGGAATTATTATGAATTTAAAGATTACAAAATGTACATTGGTTAATACAGTGTCCAATAACAAGGCAGCTGGTCCTGCCAGACCCAGGACCTCAACTTTGTAATGAATGTCACCTACGGAATTCTAGTAGAGTAGACATTAAAAAATTAGTAATCAATTTCCCGTAGCATTTATGGCAACGCCAGAGTGACATACTCCCTCCCCCCCCCCCACACACACACACACAGTCAACAGTATTCCTCAGCCCACAGACACATCCACTCGTCCTCCACAAGATACATTCTATATACATTGGTTGTTAGGTTTTAGGATGGTCACTGTGCGTGTGTGTGTGTGTGTGTGTGTGTGTGTGTGTGTGTGTGTGTGAGTGTGTGAGTGCGTGCGCGCGCGCATTTATGTGAATGAGCGTTCATATTAGTGTATATGAGTGCGATATACATTGCAGGGAGAAGAAAAACAGGAATAAAATGTTGGACCTGACAGACGAGTGGATGGAGGAGAAAGAGAGAGAGAGAGAGAGAGAGAGAGAGAGAGAGAGAGAGAGAGAGAGAGAGAGAGAGAGAGAGAGAGAGAGAGAGAGAGAGAGAGATACTTAAGCACTTAACAAATGTAAGAATAGCAAGATAATGGCACTTGGTGATACATTATCATTGAATACAAAAGAAGAGACAGCTTCACGAACCTTCACCAGACGTCACCAAGCTTGACTATGTTTCACCAGACTTCACCAAGGTTCACTAAGCTTTTCCACGCTTCACTTTAGCCTCATGCATAAATACCTCAATCCCTCCCTCTCTCTCCCTCCCTCTCTCTCTCTCTCTCTCTCTCTCTCTCTCTCTCTCTCTCTCTCTCTCTCTCTCTCTCTCTCTCTCTCTCCCTGCCAAACCCGTTTACCCTAACAATTGGACTGGAGTGTTCTTGGCTGCGTGTGTTTCTCCCATGTTATCATCATGTCTGTTATCGACGTGTTTGTCGCGTGAGGCTGCGTGAGAACTGCTTAGCGAGAATGTGTCGGTTTGGAGTCTTGGGAGTGTGTTTGTGTGAGCGTTTGGAGTCTTTGTTGTGTGTGAGTGTGTGTATGTGTATGTGTGTGTGTGTGTGTGTGTGTGTGTGTGTGTGTGGTGTGTGTGTGTGTGTGTGTGTGTGTGTGTGTGTGTGTGAGAAAGATGCAGACGGTAGGGTGGGTAGTGAGGTCGCTTGCGCACGCA